AGTGGCTGGAGTGCTAGACTGAAATATGGGAAATCCAGATTCCAGTCTCCACAGATTCATGAAATTCACTGGATAACTTTGGGCCATTCTTCCTCTCAGTTTGACACACCTTGCAGCATTGTTGTGATGACAAAGTGTGGAGGAAGAGAGGCATGTACATTGCTTTAAATTTATTGGAGGAAAAACAGAATATACTGAAATGTAACAAATATAATAAATGTGTGGTTTAGTTCATCGTGTTGCTAGCTGTTAATCCCAGTGGATGGCCTGCAGCTAAGAACTTTTAAATTGAAAATGGTATGTAAGAATATCAGTCCTTCCAGACATTTACATTTGCTCTCTTTAAACTTCATCATCCCCCTTGTGATAATAGTTTCATTTGAAGAGCCTTCATTTATTTTGAATTTCTGTGTGTTGCTTTCATCTTTGCAAAGACCAAAGCAAAACTCACACAGTCCAATTTTGCCAAACACAGGAGGACATTCTTTATCTAGCAGATAAAGTTCCCTCCCACAGATGATGCAATTACAGCCAGTCTGAAGTCCTAAGTGCTGCAAAACATATTATTGCTACAAGATAAGTCACCTGTGTGGCTTTCACACATACTATTTGTATTTCGTCATGATTTTTGGGGTGTTTTCAGTCAGTGCTACTGCAGCAATAACACATGGGTATGAAATTAATGTTTTGTATTGGCTTTACATACTATGGACGTTATCACACGGGGGCAAATCTGCTGGTTAATCCACACAAATCCCAAACAGAAACTGGATTTGTGCCCTGCGTTTTCACACAACGTTGCACAGAAACTGGACAGAAAGTGGACAGAAACTTGTGTTAACCGAGATCTTTTGAAATTCGGTTGTTTGGAGGAAATGCAAATGTGAAATTAAGGTTATCTGCGCATGTGCAAGAAGCTCATTTCTAGTACATTTACGGGCTTTTCTCACTTGTGTGTGAACGTTAAATGCGCTTACTGTAAATTTGCAATTAAGGTAATTATGTGTGAAAGCCATTTGCAGAATCAAGGTTTATTTTCTGTTTATTTTCGGAATGCCTCATTTCTACTTTATTATCGCTTTCTGGCCCATGTGCGATAACGTCCTATGTCTTTCCAGCACCACAGGTGCGCATTACCCCAGTGCCTGAGGCCAGAAGACTCAGAACACTTTTTGCTGGGATGCCTCTACTCCTGGAGTGTGAAGTCTCCACATCTGATGCTCCTGTCTTCTGGTTCAAAGAAGGGAATCCTGTGCCTTTAGATGACAGTGCCCTTCTTGTCCAGTCAGAAGGCTGCATCCGCAGGTTATTGATTCCCTCAGTCTCATCTTTGGATTCTGGGACATATACATGTGATGCAGGTGATGACTCCATCAGCTTCAGGGTGACTGTAGATGGTAAGTTGTGGGGAAAATTGTTGGTGTGGACAAAAGAAATACTATCTTACCCCACCCCCAAAAAGGAGTAGGGTAAATATAAGAAGGATGGATTGATTGGAAATTCAGTTTGCCTTAGAATAAGGGCATACCTTCAAAAACAAAGCTGGTGCTTGAAATAAGCAGCATGTGGCAGCTTTTCCTTGCTACTCTTTGGATTTCTACCATCCACTGTCAGTAGTTGTTTCACTTGGAAGCTGATCAGGGCTGTTATTACTATTATATAGAGTGAAGTGACCACATCAGTTGGCAGATACTATGGGGCTGGGTTCAACAGGGATCTCTTGGAGAACAGAGTTGTATGCATTCCATGCAGTCTGCCCTGCACCCTTTACACACTAATTTGCTGGTTTTAGGTATAGTGAAGGCAATGAGTGCTGAAATAAGATTCACCTGTGACTATGGGCCTTTGCAGACTGCCAGAAATATTGCAAATTGAGTCTTTAGTGCTAGGGAATCACGGGAATTTATTTTTTTCTGGGACATTGAGCCTTCTCTGTCAGAGAGCTCTGGTGCCACAATAAAATACAGTTCCCATGATTCCCTAACCCTAACCCTTAAAGTGGATTCAATTTGCACTATTTCTAGCAGTCTGCAAAGGCCCTATGACTGGCTTTTATGTGGAAGTGGAAGTGCCATCCTGTCCTTCACTTCAGACAGCAAAGTCTTTTGGGCTCACCTTGAAGCCCTGAAACTGATCCTTTCCTCCCCAGCCTGAAAAATCATCAGAGAAATCAGCAGAAAACTTCATTTTCCTTGTGAGTGTTGGCTGCATTTTCTGCTATCATCGTATCTTTTTGTCGCTGCAGAACCTCCTGTGAGGGTTGTTCACTCCAATGCTGAGAATAGCCATGCCTATAAAATCACAGAACGTGTGGTGCTGGCCTGTGAATTATCCCATCCTGATGCTCCTGTGCATTGGTACAAGAATGGGGAGGCAGTGGAAGAAAGAGGGTCTCCTGCTGGAAAGTGAAGGGCCTCACCACTGCCTGGTCATTACTTCTGCCCAAGTGCAGGACTCAGGAGAATTTGTGTGCAACGTTGGTACAGATTCTATCTTCTTCAACATCACTGTTACAGGTCAGCAGGTTTCCCCAAATGAAGGGACACCCTCAAAATGTGCCCTATAGTGCTTTGTTTACAAGTCTGTGCCTTCAAGTTGCCTGTCAAATTATGGTGACCCATGAATTTCATAGGGTTATCCTAGGCAAGGAATACTCAAAGGTGGTTTTTCTAGTTCCTTGCTCTGAAATATAGCATACAGCACCAGGGATACATCTGTGTTTGCTCCATGTTCCAGATGAAATAGTTGCTTGTCTCCAAATTCCCATGGGAAAACTATTATTATTATTATTAGCTTTTACTTGCCTAATAGTTGTGTAAAGGAGGGAATTTGAGTAGCTGTTGCTCCCTCTTCTATTAAAGTTGCAGAAGACTCATCCTTTTTTGCATCTGGCCACTCTAAGCCTCCAACAAGCAATTCTCTCTCAACCTAACCCAATTCACACTATTGTTGTGAGTAGCTGTTGTGTGCCTTCAAGCCATTTTGACTTATGGTGACCCTAAGGCAAGCCTTTCATGATGGTGGTGGTGGTGGTTTGGAGCTGAGACTGTGTGACCTGCCCATGACCCAGTGGGGAAATCAAACCCTGATCTCCTGAGTAGTAATTGTGAGGCTGAGATACAATTGCAAAATATTATAGATGCAGAAAATTTCTATAGACATTGTAAATAATGCTGACTGTGTAAGTGCTTTACAGTGCATCTTATGTGAGTCTCTTCAGGTGTAAAGCCCCACTGAGTTCAGTGGAACCTACCTTGCCAAGTACTGTAGATATAGGGTTGCATCTTTAAAATCTTTACCTCATTCATTCTGCAGCTGTTATGAAGAGGCATTAGTAGTTCTTTTTTACAGGATGAATTACAGAGGCCAAGGAGGAAAAACTTGCCTGAGGCAAGGCAAAGAATTTATGACTGAAGAGAGATTTAAACCCAGGTTTTCAAGTCCAGCTGTCTGCTATCATGGATTCCTACCACAATTCAATTGTCAAAGGAAAACATAGTATTAACAGGGTATAACAAAAGCCTCCCTTTGACAAGATACACAGGGTAAATGTTTGAACATATTGAGATAGCGCTCACTTTGCCCTTCCCTGCCCTGCTTCACTGTATACTTTTATTTAGCCTGCTGTGTTTGATGTCTCTTTGATTAAGAGGCTGTACCTGCTCCTCCTTAAGGGAACAAAACCAAAGCCCCTTTGAAGGAAGCTTTTAGGGCATTTGCAGCAGGCACTTCACTTCACTCAAGCTTCATTCCTGCTAAGCCTTTCAGCTAGCAATGTAGTCAAACAGGTCTCTTTTCATCCTCTCATCCCCATCATGGTAAAACATGATTAAGAAAGAAAAGAGAAATGTTGCTTTAGAAGCCTTGGAAAATCCAGTGACACCTTGTGAAGACTTAAAGGCAGTAAGCAGTTTCCAAAAGAAAAAACCAATATTCAAAGTTTATTCTAATTTATTGTAAGTCTCAAGTGCAAAAATCCATATAGCGGAGAGATGGTGGCACAAATGTTCTCTCTCATCCTGAGCTCCTGCCTCCTGTGAGAAGGTGCAGGAGACTTGCTTTCTTCTTGAAAAAACCACCATCCTTTTTATAGGTTTTTGAAGATTTTACAGAAATAAACATAATCAACAAACAATCTCAGATTGTTACAAAGTGGTGTATTGAGTTTGTGTTTCCTGATTATCTAGCTAGAAAATCTCCAACTGACATGACAATTATATATATGAGTATCTTTCCAAAAGAGAGTCAGCCTGGTGTAATGGTTTGAGTGTTGGACTGAGGCTCTGGAGAGCAGGGTTCAATTCCCTGCTTAGCCATGGAAACCTACTTGGTGACCTTGGGCAAAGGAAGGCAAATAACCACAGTAAGGACGTTTTCACACGGGGCTTTAGGAGGACACAATCCTACCTCCGTCCGGCCCCACTCCGGCCCCTTTTCCAGCTCGTTCACACACGCGCGGTGGCAAACCCCGCCCCTTCCGGTGCCATCCCTGCGTCAGTCCGGCTCGTCGCTCCGTGTGTTCAAACACACGGAGCAGTAAGTCCGGCCTCACTCCGGCTTAACCAACGCTAACTCCGGCTTCAGCGGCTTAAAGGTAATTCCGATTGGCAAAAGGAATTAGCCTGCCGCCGCCAGAGCCATTCCGGAATCAGCGGCACGAGCCGTTCCGGAATGGCTCCACCCAGCTTTAGGGAGGGTAGTGTGAAAACGTCCTAAGTGTGGCTGCCCTATCTGAACTGGAACAATTCCAAGCTATGGGAACAGGGCTGGCTTATATTTTGTTGTTTTTTCAAATTTTGGAATTTTATGAGTCAGCTGTCAATTGTGGAGATATAACAGACACTTATGGCAAATAGGAAATCTTCATAACTTTTATTCTTTATTGCACACCAGAACCACCTACGAGAGTTGTACACTCCAATGCTGAAGATGCCCATACCTACCAGGCTTCCCAGCGTGTGGTGTTAACCTGTGAACTATCCCGTCCTGATGCTCCCATCTGCTGGTACAAGGATGGGGAAAAGGTGGAAGAAAGCAGTGGTTTCCTATTTGAGAGAGAGGGTCCCCACTGTCGGCTGATAATTCCTTCTGCCCAGGTTCATGATACAGGAGAGTTTGTCTGCGATGTGGGTGGTGACTCTGTCTTCTTCAGTATTACTGTCACAGGTGAGAGGCATCCTTGTATGCTAAACTTCCCTCATATTCTTTATTTTTGTACATTACTCATTGCTTTGGTAGGGACTCGGTAGCTCTAGTGGTTAAGACACTGATTCTGTCGATTGCAAGATCGGCAGGTTGGCAGTTCAAGGCCCAAGTGCCTTGTGATGGGGTAAGCTCCCATCACTAATCCCAGCTTCTGCGAATGTAGCAGTTTGAATGCATGCAAATGCAAGTAGATAAATAGATACCACTTTGGTGGGAAGGTAAACAGCATTCTGTGCAATCATGCTGGCCACATGATCACAGAGTAGTCTCTGACAACGCTGGCTCTTCGGCTTAGGAATGGAGATGAGCACCGCCCCTACGGTCAGACACGACTCAACAACCTTGTCAATGGGGAATACCTTTACCTTTTACATTGTTTTGGTATCATTTGTAGTGAGTCTGGCAAGTGTTATCTAAAGGGATAGGTTGGGGATGTCTTCCTGATTCCTAAAATACTATTACATGGCTCTGAATAGACAGAGAGAGATTTCAGATTCCTCTTACTAGAAAATTCTTTGCACCATTTATTTTAGCTTGGCATTTTAACATGTAAGCATAGGAGAATTAGCTTCTTCTGATGTTTCTGGACGTGAGAAGAAAACATGTACTATGTGGTAGATATTTCTTTGAACCTTTGATACAAAGACTGTTCTTGAGATTACCTTTAGGTTTCATAAATAGGGAAAGATAAGGCCAGCACCAGCCTGGAACTTGATGAGTATGTGTTGAAACAAGCCCTTTGTATTTGGGAACCCCAGACACCTCTGAGGTTGTTGGGCTTCTATTAACCAAAGGCAGTGCTTTTTTTTCTACTATGAAATATTTGCTGCATCCGTCAATTACCAATAAAGCCGTCTTCTATAACAGTGACTGGTTCTAGTCTCAGTATCACATTGACATTTTGGAGAGGCCTGAGATTGGGACCAGTCCCAGCTCAAAACAATTCTGTCTTCTTTTAGAGGAACTAATGGAAGAATATCTTTGATTCCAGAACAGGTAGTAAAGGAAGTAACACATCTTATAGGTGCAAGGCACAGTCAGAAATGGATTAGATTTCATTCCATTGTTCACTGAATTGTTGTGTGACTTCCAGTCATTTTTGACTTATGGCAACCTTAAGACAGTTTTTTTAGGCTGAGAGTGTGTGACTTACCCAAGGTCATCCAGTGGGTTTCCATGGCTGAGCGGGATTCACATCATTGTTTCCAGAGTCATAGTCCAATGCTGAATCCACTACACTATGCTGGATTCCTTGATTAACAACTGTCAAATTAGAAAAATGAGAAACCATCTTAAAGTGCATAAGACAATTGGTCTGTCTAGTGCTGTATAGTTTTAATTGATTTTTCAGCATCTCTTCAGAAAGAATTCTTTCCAAACACTTCTTGGAGATGTTGGGGACACAACCTGGTACTTTCTGCATGCATAACGTGTGCTTTCTCTCTGAATTATCATTCTTCCTTAGTACCTGATGTGTCTTTTCTATTTCAGAGCCTCCTGTCCAGGTTGTGAGCTCCAATACAGATGAACCTCATACCTATCAAGCCTTGGAACAGGTGACATTGACCTGTGAATTGTCCCGCCCTAATGTTCCTGTGCACTGGTACAAAGATGGGGAAGAAGTAGAGGAGAGTGAGGGTCTTCGGCTAGAGAGTGAAGGATGCCATCGTAGGCTGGTCATTACTTCAGCTCAGGTGCAAGACACAGGAGAATTTGTGTGTGATGCAGGTGGTGACTCTGTCTTCTTCAACATTACTGTTACAGGTCAGTAGAATTTATTGCTTTTCCTCAGACATGGATTTTAGCCAGGAGTGGACAAAGTACATTCCTTGATATAATTCCCAGACTCCCCTGGACTGTTTTTCATCTAGAAATGAAAGGGAAGAATTATTTCATCAGGAAGCCCCAGGGCCCAGCAATGTGCCTGTTAAACAAGTTGCAGAATATTCTGCACAGTTTATTTTTTTAAAAATATTTAAAAAACAAAAAAAATTTCAAGATCAGAAGTGGATATCCAGCCACTTCTAGTTTTGTTTTTATTATTATTGGGGGGGGGGCAGATTTGGGACAGCCAGTGCAGTCCCTACTTGGTCCTAGAGCAGAAAATTGGCCCTCAGATTCCAAAAGATGTCTTGCCCTCATTTCAGATCAAGTATAGTTAGTGATATACTACAAAACCTAAAATCCACAAAAGAGAAATACCTTTATTCTCCAACTGAATTGCACAAAACACATCATGCAAGCTTTTGAAGCTCCATGGCTTCTTCATTGGACAAAACATGTTAAAAATAATACAAGAGAAGAAAAATGACTAGTGCCAGTGTGGTATACTGGTTTGAATGTTGGATTCTGACTCTGGAGATGATGGTTCAAAACCCCACTCAGGTATGGAAACCTACTGGCCAACTTGGGCAAGTTACACACTTGCCATGAAAACTGAGTGATAGGATTGCCTTAGGGTTGCCATAAGTCAGAAACAACTTGAAGGTACCCAAAGGCAAAGTGAACATATCTGAGAACATATATTTTTTAATTATCTCCCTTCTTTTTAAATGTTAATTATTTCTTCCCAACCTGACCTATGGAAGAGACTTTCCTGCTTTCTTTTGATTAAATTCACTAAAGTTCTTTGCTCAATTGCTTCACCGTGAAAGTTAAATTTAGTGATAATGATTCTGCAGTTTGGGATTCAGCACTCTTGAGTGAATATCTCCTATCCTAGGAAGATTTCACTTTTAATGATAATCTGTTTTCTGCTATGCCTATTTAGTGGCCCAAACGTACTCCTGGCTACTTTTTTGGGTTAATTTTTGCTGTAATAGATGTCCTGTCTGTTTGTTGGCACTTTCTGAAGAAAACCTAGATAACATGCCCTGTATAAATTACAGAATTGTATTCATAATATCTATAATGAAATAATCAGCTAGAACAGCCATTTTTACAGATGTACAAATCTGAGGAAATTTCCCAACTGGTTGATCTCCCAAGTGCCTTGAAAGCTGCTGCTTTGACTTGAAATTGATATTCTTTTTAAACTTGTGCATCCTTGGTGCTTAAAAAACTAATGCTAGCTCCTGAGACCAATGCGTAGACCTTTATAGAAATCAGATTTTAAGCTCTGTACATAGCTTTTAATACATTTTACTATTTTAATGTTAAAAACATTATAAACTTTATAAATTGCTTCATTGGTTTAAAATGTTATAGTTATATTTTTTAAATGGTTTTGCATTGTTTTAAATTTGTATTGTTTTAAATTGGCTGTTACCTCTCTTGAGTCCCTGTCTCGGGAGAAAGGCAGGATATAAAATAAATAAATAAATAAATAAAACAAGATCCCCACCCCTGCTCCTGGGCAATGTACATGGAAGTCTATTAAACAATCTCAGATTCTCTTAATCCCTGCAAGCTTTGTCCTGACTCATCAACTAGTCATCCCACTTTCCAGGAACAGTTGAATTCTAATGCACTGGTATTGGGAGAGCCTGTAATTTTATGCCAGTTGCTTCTCTTTGCCCCTGGCATCTGCTTGGTAGTTGGTTGTTGGGAGTAAAATAAGGCTCCACCCCACTGATTCTTCAGTCTTGAGTCAGACCAATGGATAGCAACCTGCATGTCTGATTTTAATAAATAATAATAATAATAATAATAATAATAATAATAATAATAATAATAATTTTTATTTATATCCCGCCCCTCTGCCAAGCAATCGGGGCGGCGTACAACAATACAAACTTCAAAACATTAAATCAAATTGAAATCCCATCCCTCCTTCGCCCATCCACCCTTCCCCCCAAAACATACAGAACAAATTAAATAACAATAATTA